TCGGCTGGATCCTTTCCTCTCCTCCCTCGGGGCTGTTTATCGAGGTCGTAGGGACGACGCAAGCCGGCGATCGGGGCCGTGATTCTTCCATGCTCGGGAATATATGTCTTGGGCTCTATTTTTTTCATGAAATTCTTGTTTTTAATATGCCAAGATTGCTCGTAATAATTTTTATCGCTTCTAAATGTATATCCTCGTATGAATATTAAAATTATCTTTGCTGTGATACGAGGCGTATGGGAACTTTAGAACACTTTAAAATACGTATACCATTTAAATAATATATTTAAATTTAAAATGATTCTCCCTTTCTGTATAATTTTCATCTCGATTACTTATTAATCGAAAAGGATCAAAAGAGCCGCGCATATTAACGAATACGAGAAACAAGGATAAATCGAAAAGATTAGAGCTGGTACCATTAAAATCATTGAAAAATTACGATTTTAAACATTGAATAACTCGAATCGATACAATAATAACTTAAAAATTATCGATAGTTTTTAAAATTTATCCGCACGATTCTAATTAATTAAAGAATAATTCAATAATACTATAATTTTCGAGTAAAGTTTTTCCCCCTTTTCTTTTCTTTTCTTCTCTTCTCTACTCGCACGATTCTCCATCACGAAAAAAATCATCACTGCCCATCGCCGGAGAGCAAGCGCAAAAAACAGTCTCGGTTGGCTTAAACTCGTATCTCTCGCGGAAACAGGAACTTCGTCACGAACGGACGCAGCGGAGATGTTCGTGAAACGAATACGTATATATATATATACGTATACACGCCACTTGCACGGAGACGGAGGATGGACAGACGCGTGTCGGAGATGCGGACGGGTTCGCGATAAGGAAGGTGCGACATCGTCAAGGCCGGGCCGAATGAAAACAACCGGCAGCCTTTCTCCGGCTCCGACCGATACGGCTGCGTTCACGTGCCACGCCGTGTCCGTGGGCGGCCACGATATTCGCCTCGTCCAATTTTCCCCATTAATAATTTGCCCGCGACTTGTCGATCGGCTCTCGACGACCACCGCTTCTCTTCGTGCGATCTTAGATCGCAACCGGTCCCGAGTCCTACGCGGACAACACACGTATTTCGTAACAATTCCGCGCTCTGTGTGCGCGCTCATGCGTGCCACGACCTGGATCTTTTCTCTCTTTCGACGTGTACTGAACCTTCGCCAATAAATATATATTATATTTATATATATATATAGATATATATACGCCTTCGAGTTGGAGCAATCGTGGACCAATTGGATCTAGATGTTTTCGCGTCGGTCGCGTGCTCCGCGACGATTAGATCGAGTAATCGATGCAGTGAATTAGGTTGATCTTTCAGTTGGTGTTCGCTCTGGGCTGAATAAGATACTGGTTCGTAATGAGATTCTGCGATTTTTAACGAAATATCTTGGAAACATCGACGATATTATATGAGACGCGAGATGAAGCGAATTAGATTCCCGATGCCGCTGAGATTCTATCGAGGGAAGATTTTTATTTGATTATATAGAAAAATTGAATTAGAACGGATGAAAGTGGATCCGTGTTTATCCATAACAAGCCTTCGATCTCATCGTTTCGAGATGCGTGTATATATATATATATATCTATTTACTCGAAATCGGGGAGCAGGGATTCGAAGCTGATCGATCAGAAACAGAATTCCCGGTAATTTGCAATGTCGTTAACGTAGTCAGAAGCCGCGTGGCCGGCAATTATAACGGGACACCTCGCGCGGTATAATTAATCCTTTGATCTGGACGCGTTGTGTAGCGTTAATTGGATTACAAGCCATCGATCCAACTAATTCGATTCCGCGTCGTCGCGAGCTACGCCTTGCCGAAGACGGACGTCGTCTTCTGCTCCGTCGACCTGCATCCACGTCTGTTCACCAATTTGACGAACGCTCCAAGGTCCCGTATATTCTTCCTGTCAATCCTGTTATTTCGATCGAGATCGATTCATCGAACGTTTCTTGAAAAGGTTAATAAAATCGTTCTCTAAATAATATCCTATATTGTGAAAAATAACACGACCACAATCATCGAGAAGAAGATTAGTTTTTCTATTACGCAGTGTCTTTTACGCATCGCACGATCCTCGAGGGTTTCCCCTCCGTGTGCACGCATACACGCGCGCTCTGGGTACCCTCTGGCACACAAGATACAGAGAGTGCATCGTCTCTCTCTCTCTCTCTCTCCCTTTCTCTCTCTCTCTCCGCTATACCTTCCACGTTGTATCTAGCGTGTGCTCTCTTCGTCGATGCATTCGTATTCGTGTCTTGGGTTACGACAGAGAGTAGGCCCGTTATCGGGGCCTGCTGATTGCTTTTGAACAAAGAGAGCCTCGCCTCGCGCCGCTCGCCCGACGAGGACGCCGCTAAAACGAGAGGAAAAGAGTAACACGAGGAGATTGTTCGTGATGAGGTGGTTAGACTGGTTCACGCACGTGTGTGCGTGCTTGAAATACGGTCCCCGGTGTGCGTCTTAAACTGCATGCACTCTCTCGACGTGGCGCGAGGGAGGGGAGGGGAGGAAGCGCAGGATCTCTCTCCTTCCCTCCTCCTTCTTTCTTCGTTTTTCGTTAACCCTTTCCTCGCCCTCCTCGCCATTTCTTTTCCCCCCGCGACCAAGTCTAGCCTCTTCCTTGCTCCTTTCCTCTCGCCTATTTTCTCGCTTCGACCACTGGCGCCTCCACCTTCTCTCTCTCTCTCTCTCTCTTTCGATCGCTTCTTCTGCCTCTGGTGTCCGCGTGAACTTGTTCTTGGCCACTCGAAACGACTCTCTCGTAACGCGATGCGTAAGAGTAAGTAGTACGTTACATTTGGGTGGAGAGGAAGAAGGAGCGGACGTCGAAGATAAGACAAGAGACAAGAGAAGAAGCGAGAAAAGGGTGAAAGTTTTTTGGAAAATCGAATCCGGTGGATTCGGTTCGGTTGGGCGGAGCGGAGAGGGAAAGCACAGGTGTACACATGTACGAAGAGAAAGAGAAAGAAAGAGAGAGAGAGAGAGAGAGGGGCACGTCACTCGACGGGTTGGTAAAATTGAAATATAAAACGTGCGAATACTGTTAGAGCTGGCAGGGGATACCTTGGCTTGGTCTTTTAACGCGAGCGAGTTATATAACAGCCGGTATCGTAACGTGTATTGTCTCGCGATACCAATTAGCCGGTGAATTATTTTCACGGCAACTATTGAATATCGGTCGGTAGGGTTAATCGTCGGAGTTTGTTACGGAGTTTTTAACCTTTGATCGAAAGATCAGGCGATAGAACGTAGCTTTTGCTTAGAACCTTTCGTAGGGGGACAAGCAGGTTTGCATAATCGGGTCATTCGTACAATAGGAGATTACTTAATTTTCCTCGCCGCGTATGATTTTTCAATTCATTTTCAACGTTTGTTTGAGCGGATTTCACCATTAAGCTGGATTGCGTAATAAGATTACATAATAAGAATAAAAATTTAGAAATCATTTTGTAATATCTTTGAAAGATCTTTATCCTATTTCAACTATCAGATTAAGTGATTTGATTAAATATTTATATAATAAACATTTCTATATTTCTCCGAGAAAATATTAAAATTGACAAGATTGTTATTGACCATTGAATTATGCAAATTAATTTTTCCAATCAATTTATACATTTAACTAGATTTTTTCTTCTCAAACAACTAATAATAGATCATAAGTTTATGTATTTATGCAAATCTATTAAAATGTATATGCAAAAAGAAAAAAATTACTTGCATATTGTATTATATTATACATTATTATACATTTTGAGGAATAAAACATTTTTTTAATAATAAAAATTTTCAATATTAAAATCTCAATTCCATAATATTCCTATCATAGTTTTTGTTTCCTTACAATTTCTCAAAAATATACGGAATGCAGAAAAACACGAAATATTTATACGATATTCGAAGAATAAATCAAATATTCCGAGCTCCATTTTTTTTAGTCACAAATCAGTTTTAAATCAGCTTTAAATAATTCACTTCTACAAGATTTTTATTCTCCAATTTCATTTTTTTCTTTTTCATTTCCATTTTCTAATTTCTTCTCGTTCGCCAAAAGAAATCCCTTGCCATCTTCCCTGTCCAACGAATCCCTGTCCGAAAAACGATCGTCGACTCGTTCTTTTGTCCGCGTATACCTACGTAGTACAATTTGACGCGAGGCCAGAGCTCGAGAAGGAAGGCCTGGAGTGTGTGTATGCGCGCTTGTAAAAGTGCATGCGTCGTCGTACCTTTCGAGGGTGTTAATGCGTACGGAGGCGGGTTTCTCTCCTCTCTTTCTCGGTTTCGCCTCTTTCCACGATCCCTCCACCCGTCTCGCCCGCCCGCCCTCTCGGCCACTCTTCCATCCTTCCTGCTCTCTTCCTCGTCCCGCTCGAGCGTGGTGCGCGCGCGCGGCCACTGGTTTGTTTTGGTTCACCGAGTGTCGAGTGTGTCGAGCGCGAGCGTCGTGCGTATGTTAAGTGAAGGCGAAGCGCGACAACCGGCGCGAAGGCGCCTGCGCAACAGCGAGCGGATAACGCCAACCGCGAATAATGTTAACAGCCGTTAGTTGGAGGAGCGCGGTCGTCTCACCGTGCGATCGAGGTTGAGGTTTCTCTGTTTTGAAAATAGGGTGCATAGTATGCTACGGTCCGAATCGGGAGACTATACAAGGAAAGATAAAGTTGGAGATTTTTATTAATTTTCCTCGACAATTTTAATGTATCGAGGAATAGAGATAGATACAGAAGATGATTGAATTAATTTGTAGATAATACGAGAATTGGAAAACGAGTTAGGAGAATCCTTTCGATGTTTTTATTTTCTGAGAACGGTGGAAGAGCGAAGATTCACTCTTTTATCATCGAAGATTGAAATTTGTTGCGATTGATTATTATCGCCGTTTGTAACGAAGATTTAATTTATTGACCGCAAAAAATGTTCTATTATAACGATATTTCCAAGATAATAATACATCACGATGCGATTAAAGTCATTTCATTAAAAAGATTACGTAGACTCTTGAATAAAAACCTTTATCACGTAGCAACGAGTATATTGTTACGTTTAATTTCCCGAGCGTAACTCATAATATAATAGCGTAATAACAAACCACTGCTCCGTTATCCCATTTACATGATAGCGTTCGAACGATCAATAAAGTAGTCTCGAGACTTCCATCCTTGAAAAACCAGATTCATTGGAGAATCCTAAACGCAAAATCATAGGCATCCTCAAATTTCTGGATACCGATATCTAGAGCATCGTCGCGTTAAATACGATCCTACTATCATAATCTGATCTCGCCTCGTCAACTTCTGTTCATTATGCATCCCCACACACGAATCAACGTGCCGTCGTAAATCAACAGATTTTTCAAAAGAACGTTTCGCAGCGTGAATTATATCGGGGCTCGCGTCTCGAGGATCGCCACACATCTATTATCGGGCCCCTTATCGAACCGCTTCGCCTAGTCGGTGGTGAATTTATTTCGCGGCCATGTTTCACCATCCTTATTTACGAGCCCGTGTTCCATGGGCCTGTTCGATCCACTTGTTTCTCGACCCCCCGAGCACGAAACTCTCCGCGAGAGACTCGTCTTTATCCGAAGAGAAAATTGAGAAGATCTGTATCACGCTTCGATATTGTTTCGCTCCGCGTTGCACAAATTCTGCTTTGTTTCGCACCATTTTGACAATGCTCTGCGCAATGCACTGCTTCGATTCCGTTCGGATTCCGTTCCGATCCGTATTCAAATTCGTTCAGTGGACTCTGATAGTGTTTGATAATACTTTGCGCAGTAATATTCGGAGCAAAACGAATCTGAATAGAGCGAATCTCGTCGAAATACGACACAACAAAAATCGGAGAAAAAAAAGAGAAAGAAAAGGAAATAGTAATAATATCTCTTATTTGGACTCGTTTTTCTCCCGTATTTATCGAAGAGTAATATAGATTCTGAAATTCGATTTTGACGTTCTTCGTCCCAAAAAACAATGGACTCTGTTCTCGCGTAACAGAGGAGGCTGAAAAATCGGTCGAAAAACACGAATCCTGTTTCCCGCCACGGGGGCCCTCGCCACGAGGACGTGTTGATTTAACGGAACAAACGCGGCGTATCGGGGCGGACCTGTTCCCCTCACGTGGGCAGAGAGAGAGCACGGCGGGCATCTCGCGGAGAGGAACGGCGCAGAAATCGGGTGATCGGGTTCCTTGAACCGTGGACGTGCGCTATAGGTGGCTGGTCGCGGTGTTGCCCGTGCAATTCGGTTCCGTGAACCCCGGGACCAGTTTAATCCGCGTCCAATCTGAGGCCGCGGTTCTCCGAATCGAAGAATGAGTTGTCGGTAGCGCGTCTCTCGGCGCCAACGCGCGCGCGTTCCTCTCTTGCCCGTCCACTTCTTTCTCCGCTCCGCCGACAGATGTTCCGCTTCTTTTTTCCACCGATGCCTTTTTCCTGCTGCTCGATCGAGTTAATTGTCCGGGGATTAGCATCGAGAAGCGATACCATCCAAGGTCGCTCTTTACCTCGCTTTAGATTGGAATTTTAAACGTTTTTCGACGTTTCGAATCGAGTCTTTTAAATTTCTTTCTTTCTTTTTCTTTTTTTTTTGTACGTGTGTCAGTACAAGTAGGATTCGAATTTTTAGCTTTCTTTTTTCGAATAGATTTTAAAATTTAAATTTGAAAAATAAATTTGAAAAGATGGATCAAACGATAAATTAATTCCTTCTCGTTCGATTTTGATTCTCGTCTATACTTTTTTGTGCGAAAATAGATCATAAATTAGATTACGAATTAAACGGGATAGAAATTAGCCTTATGTATCTCGATGAAGCCTTATCTCTGAACAATCGAACTTATATATCGCGCGATTGATTCGAAACGATATCGGGGATCTCGTTCGCTTAACGAACCGGAGGAAGAGGAAATTCGATAAACGGCGGTGGTAAAGGATAATTGCAGCCACGGTTGCGGAAAAACATCAAACCTCTCTCCTCCCCTACTACTCTCCCTCCCCCTACCCCTCCCCTATCGAGGCAATTCTTCGGTGGAAAGTGGCAGAAGCCAACAGTGGTCGGCCCTTAATAGCGGATCCCGATAGGAAACTGCACGCTCGCGAAACCCAGCCACGTAACAGCCAATTTCTAAGAGCGTAACTAAGCGAGGTCGAGGCGGTCATTTTGTGTATATATATCCTCCACACACACACACACACACACATCCTCACGTCATCGAAACTGTTCGGGTATACTACGCGGGGATCCGGCGATCGTTCCAAGTACGTCGAACCCTCCTTTATGCTCACGGCTGCGTAGATATATACCTGAATCCCCAAAAGGATTCGGATCCACGGTGAGGAACAGGTGTCAAGAGGCAACCGGTGGGGAGGGAGGGGGAGAAAGATAGATNCGAGACGCTTCTCCCGATCTTCGATGCGTCGGCAGAAGCAGAGGCGGACCTCGATCTGGATCGAATTTTTTTAATTTGAAAAGAGTTACGCTAGAAAGAGAGATGCACGAGGTTGTCTTTCGTACAATTTCAATCGTTTTAACTCGAGGCAATGCTGCTCTTATTGCCACGCTCCTCTACTTGTTGCGCGAACGTAGTATACGCGCAACCGTTCAAATTAACACGCTCGACCGTTACACGAGAACCGTCTCGCTAAATCTGAGTCCTAACCAACCGCGCGGCCGGCCCGGGCCGAGCCATTGCTGCGAAAAGGAGCCGGCAATTTCCCCGATGAAAGGGGGCGAGAGAAAGACAGGGAGAGATAGAGAGAGAGAGAGAGAGAGAAAAATGCACGTGTGCATCTCTCTGTGCACCCTATAGCGATCCTATAGTTGCAGTGGCGCGTAGAAGGGAGGAGGATGCCGCTTTTTCCAGCTTGAATAATGCCCGGCCAGGTCTATTG